CTGTCTCTCTCTGTCTGTCTGGCGAGTGCACGCGCCCTACAGTGAAAATCTCTCCCCCCAAAAAAAAAAAAATTAACTGATAAAGAATTTTGGCTCTCTTCTGTTTAGATCTCAGAGTTATGCTATACAATATAAGAAATGTATAGATCCAGAAATGTCTTTTCTTTTGGAGAGGTTTTTGCTATAGGGCACGTGCGCTCGCCAGAAAGACAGAGACATACAGACAGACAGAAAGCAAAAAATCACCCCCCAGGGGGATGGCCACACCACAATCCCTTCTCCTCCATTCTCCTCTTGGGATCTTGGGCACACATGCACACGTGCCTGGTGTTGAGTTTAAGCCATCGGGTTCGGGACTTGAACTGCGGTCAGCTACATGGGAGTCCAGCAACATAGCCATTACATTAACTGCTGGTCCTGAGGACTAGTATTCTTAACTTAATGAAAAAGAGGACTTAGTTTGGGTTACACTTATTAGGACACATTAACCAAAGAGAATATACACTCTGGATTCTTTTCTGCTCTATCTTTGTAAAATAGATGAATTTGCATATTTAGGAAGATTACTTAACCTTGAATCTGATCCTCAAGTGTTTGGAAAAATACTAGAGAGAAAATTTCCTTACCCTGGTGAGTAAATCTTCTCCAATCTGTTCAATAACAGAGGTCTCATTCCTCTTCCGAACAGCCTTCATTTGCTCATTCAACCCAACTAAAGGGAAAAAATAGAAAAGAATTAAGTACGCACTCATTTTAGGCTGAATTACCGGTAGTATTAGGTAGCTAAATTTTTTCAAAAAAGGGATTTTTACAGTACTACAGCTGCTTCTAATATCCTTAAATATAAATCTGGACACGATGCTTAAGCTGCTAGATGCTGTAAGTGCCATCTGAACAGTAGGTGCTAAAGCATAAAGCATCATTTTTGGAAAATAGCACATTTACACAGTAGACAGCAGTTGCATCAGATTCTCAGACCCCATCTATAACCATGCTCAGGAAGAAATTTCGGCAGTGCGGGTGATCCTGCTGTTCCCCTCGACGTGCGCACATGCAGAGGGAACGGCTGTCATCAAGCCCGAACTTGCCAATGCACGCTGGAGAGACCCGTGACTACCCACGGACACATGAGTAACAGGCACCGACTGTGTCGGCAGGTGTTGGTAGGTGGTGATGACACCCTTGACGAAGACTGAGAATTAAGGGTCCGAGGAGCAGTGCGCCACGAGACGAGAAGCATCCCACTGCTGTCTAAAGACGCCCCATGCGACCACAACCACGAGAGTCCACAAGGCAGTTTCACAGACTCGCACATGCGCTCCACGTAACTAAAAAGTTCCTAAAACTTATCCCTCCGTGGGATTATCTGTGGTATACTGCTATTAATAAAATATAGTCAATCATATTATTACACAGACTCTCATTATTGGTAAATTCATAAAAACATAAACACACACACATACATACACACACACACAATTGACAGAAAATGTTCAAGGGTCATTTTTTAATTTTTTTAGAGAGAGATTTTTGCTACAGGGTGGCTATGCTCTCTAGAGAGACAGAGAGACAGAAAGTAAGAAATCCCCCCCCGGGGGGATGGCCATACCACGATCCCTTCTCCTCTCAGGATCTTGGGCATGCACCCACATGTGCCCGGCATGAGTTTTAGGCCACTGAGTCCAGGACTCGAACCGCTGTCACTATGTGGGAGCCCAGCAACAGAGCCATTATGTCATCTGCTGGTCCCTCAAGGATAATTTTGACTATTCATTTCTTTCAAATTAGGCACTAACTTTGGCCCCAAACCCTGTGTTAACACTTTGTATACAAAAGGTTGATTGTGAGGGAAAAGGACCTGGTTAAAGATCCAATCCCTTCTTTACTTACATCATACCCCCACACTTAACTGCTGGAATGGTAGCAGGTGCACACAGGATTTTCAAAGGCCTATGTGGTGGCTCTTGGTGCTCACAGCCTTTGCGCCATTAGAAATGGTAGGAATGACGTAACAACAAACGTCTCTTACTATGAAGTTGAAGAATATCTTCCAAGTTTGAAAATATCTTCCGTAGTTCCGAAGGTGACAGGATTCCCTCTCGGGATACTCGCTGGTAGAACACCTGATCGAGAACCTTCAGGGTTCGAACGTGCGCTCTTTCGGTGTAGAACAGTTCTAAGCAGAAAACAAGGAGACACGAAACATCGCCTTACTCAAAATAATTCCATGAGACCAAACATAGTCTTTAGTTGGAATTGGGGGCCAGATGAGTTAAGTCATAAAATAAATTATTTATCATTTAGAGAAGGGCAAGTGTCTATCTCTGATCCCATGAACTTTTCCTACGTCCTAGCTCTGAGAGTTGAATACTAAAACAAACAGAAAAATAATTCAGAACTGTTTGGTACTTAAAAGTGTACCATCAGATCACGCAATCCATTTCTATTAATACCCACTTTTCACAAGTGTGACAGCGAGGTGTTAAGCCCCATCATAGAGTCTTTAACTTGAGCCCTCTTCAGAATAATACCTTCTGGTTATCGAATGTGCCTATAAACCCTAAACCCTCACATCACTGTGTGTCAATGTCATCAGAAACAGGAAGGTATTTATTTAAATCACATCCTGGGGACACTCGCGGGCACAGCACCCATGCCACATGTATGTCGTGTACGTGTCAGGGGGACATCGAACACCGCACGAGGCCACAGGAGGCCCTGGTCCCGGCTTTCCCTCTGCGCTCATCCACTCTGGTCGTGATTCGCTGACTCGTCTCCCTCTGCCTGAGCATTGTCGGTCACCATTTACACAGAAAATAAGCAGACAGTGAAGCAACAATCTTTCGAATTTAAGATCTATAGTGCAATGAGTCTTAACCATCTCAAAGGCTAGACACATTTTCCTTTGAAATTATCAATAAAAGTCACAGAATCGTTTGCATTTTTTGAGTTCAAGACTTCAAGGATCATCTATCCAGCTTACTTTTCTCTTCGTTTAAAATAAAAGGCTAAGAGAATATGTGAAGCAAACTTCAAGGCTGAGGTTTGCTTTACTCTGATAAAAACTCAATATATGTGAACACTAACAACCGCGAATGATCTGGCTCACCATTAATCACTTCCTGCCTTTTGATCTCAGAAGGTTTTAGGCCCAGCAATACTTCCCGGCTGACGAGCTGCTGCCAGTTGGGCAGATCCGTCTCCAAGTCGTTTTCAAATTGTTCATCCTCACTTTGACTTTCTCCGAAAGCTAAGCTGTCAAACCTAACAAGGAAAAATGGTGAATTCTTTTTACTTCAGGTGGCCAATGGGAAATAGTCCGAGTCTTTAAATTACAGCACATCAGTCAGGGTCCAGAATCTGCCTCAGCACAGAGCCCGAGACACCATCCTCTCCTGCAGAATGGCTAATAGGCAGCATGGCAGTTATGTCACTGGGCTCCTACAGGGCCGATTGAGGTTTGAATCCCGGACCTAGTGACTTGAAAATGAATGCAGGATGTGTGTGCACGCGCACACGTGTGTGTGTGTGTGTGTGTGTGTGTGTGCCCAAAATCCTGGGAGAAAAATGCAGAGAAAGAGACTGCAGAGTGGCTAATTGCCTGTGGGGTGAGGGTGGTTTTTCACTTTCCCTCTCACTATTTCTGTCCCCCCACCCCACCCCCCCCAGGCCAGTGCATGTGCCCTAAGGCAAAAACCTCTTTAAAAAAAAGGCTAGTAGGTGTTGTCTGTAACAGTTCAGTAGATATCTTTAGCATGGTTTGTGCTTATTAAGAACTTTCTTTTATTCTGGCTAACAGATCTGTGGTCAGGGTTTCTTTGTCTTTAAAACTAGGACTTCAGCCACGAAAGCTTTATTTCTTAAAATGTGTTTTTATCGAGAGCTACTTAAGTTTTACTTACTTTCGAAAGGGCTTTGGTGTCCCATGTTCAGTCATCCTGAAACAACGGAGAGTAAATAGTCAACACGAACATGAAACGGCGATCAAGAAAGACACGCCAAAGATACTCAAAACTGGGTTAACCTCCAGGATCTTGATAAAGAGTTCTTTTGAGTATTGTAATGATTTAATATAAAATACACTGAAGAAAATATCAGTACCTATCTAATATTTACTACAAACAAGTGCTAGTTCTCAAAACATTACATGGGAAAACACACTGCAAACTACAAAGGATGGGAACAGTGCAGGATTCAGACCATCTCTGACGGCACGCTCGGCCTCTCGGCGCCCGCTGAGTTACCTTTCCACCTCGCAGTCCTCCTCCTGCACTTGCTCTAAGGGAGGCGCTGGGAAATCGAAGACGGTATTGGGAGTGCGAGGCGGGCCGTCTACGGAGTCTCCCGAAGCTGGTGCTTCTCCAACTTGCTTTGACCCTGCAGAGACAAAAGTCAGACATTGAAGAGTGCTCACACATAAGTCACTGATGACAAAAAACGGTCCCCAGAAGAGCTCCAACCTAATCCATAGCCACATTCTTATTTAAACAGTTGTAGGTTAGCAAGGACCAGAAGTCTGTCATATGAAAACTTTAAATGCACTAAAATAAACAGGAAAGTAATTTCTAAAGCAGCTTCTTAAAAACCAACATAGATAATGACGACAACTCAAGCAGTGCAGGATGCCTGCTGAGGGGTGACATTCTCCCATCTTACCCTTTTCTAGTTCCAATGTCCGCCCTTCTTCATGTTTTCAAATCTTAGTTATTATGCTGATCTAACTTTAAATAATCTTTTATTTATTTTCCTTGCTTTATTATCCTTAGATTGTATCTTTTTCTTTCCCCTCTGAGGATTTTACTCACTTAAACTTCCCACCTTCGTTTACCCCCTTTTCTTCCCCATGTCTAATAGTTACATTATTATTATTATTGGCTGGTTGGTTATTACCTAAGTGTTTTCTTTCTCTTTTTGGGGGGAGAGGCTTTTGCTATAGGGCACATATGTTCACCAGAAAGACAGAGAGACAGAAAGCAAGAAATCAGTCCCCTGGAGGTGTGGCCATGCCGCAATCCCTTCTCTTCCACTCTCCTCTCGAGATCTTGGGCACGCATGTACACATGCCCGGCGTGATTTCAAGCCACCAGGTGTGGGGCTTGAACTGCAGTCAACGACGTGGGACTGCAGAGACTCAACAATCACACCATCTGCTGGTCCCAGGTTATTACCTAAGTTTGAATGTTCAATCTATATTTTTGTTCCATCGAGGAGTTGGCATCTCAATTCTCTCCTACTCAGACTAGGTTACTCAGTGACCACAAACTCCCCCGATGGGTACTCACTTACTTCTTTCACCTTTCATTTCTTTCAACGACATTTTCACTTATGTCATTAAGAGTATTTTTTACTTTTATGTTCTGCTCTGCACGTACAACGGAACATTCTGTGCTACGCCTAGGAGGATGATCCTGGAAGTTTGAAAACCAAAAAAGAATGCCGATATTATTCTAATAATGCACATGTTGTCATACACAGCACACAGGTATGTACAACACATGACATATATGTACAATACATGACACAGGTATATAACGCATGACATGTACGCATAAGACACACTGTTTCTGCCAGGTGAAGAGGTGTCTTGTTAGGATGTCTAGTTGTTCAATGACACAACCCTGGGTCACTAAGAAGAGAATGTTTCTGACAGTAAAGTCTGATACTCAGTCAACTGCTCTCAGATCACGCCTTTTTTTTATTTTGCTCATGTTTAAGTCATGCCTTTGTTTCTTTTTTTCTCTAGGGTTTTTGTCATAGGGTGTGAGAGCTCGCCAGAGAGAGGCAGTAAGAGGGTAAGTGAGGAATTACATCCCAGGAAGCATGGCCCTCCACATTCCCTCCTCCGTTCTCCTCCTGGGATTTGGGTGTGCACACCTGAGTGCCCAGCATGAATTTCAAGGCAGGTCCAGGACTCAAATCACAGTCGGCCAGCAGGCGTCTAGAGCCTTAAGCACTATGCCACCTGCTGGCCTTAAACAATTATTTATTTATTTGTTTTTTTAGAGAGGTTTTTACTATACGGCACGTGTACTCGCCAGAGAGACAGAAAGAGAGAGATCACCCCATAGGTGGGAGGCCATGCCACAATCCCTTCTCCTCTATTCTCCTCTCGGAATCTTGGACAGACATGCACGCACACGTGCCCGGCATGAGTTTTAAGCTGCCAGGTCGGGACTTGAACTGCAGTTGACTACATGGGAGTCCAGTGACATAACCATTATGCCCTCTGCTGGTCTCAATTTTTTTTTTCTTTTTATAGCATTTCTAAATGCCTTTCTTTTCTTGCTGCCAAATATAATTTTATCAAGTCTCAAATTTTTTTTATCTGCTGTCTCATACCATCAACTGCTTAAAATCTCTCTCTTCCTAATCCCTGTGTTCCAGTCAGGAGAGCGTGTCTCTCCTGAGACATGCCCGTCATCCTAGAACTGTCCTTTGCCTCGTTCCTGGGTACCTCCATTGGTCCCTAAATCACATGACATTTCTGTTCTTTAAAAAAATTAGTTTTTAATTGAACTTTATTTATTATTATTTTCCAGTTTGATCAGAGAGAGACAGAGAGTGAGGGAAAGTGAGAAAGCAAGCCACAGGTCCTGGCCTCAAACCATGGTCGCCCATGTGGGAGTCCAGCCCCTTTAAGCAACATGCCACCTACTGGCCCGCCATTTCTGTTCTTAATGCTTCTCTCATTTTGCTGTAAACGGTTAGCCTCAAATAATTCTCAAGAAAAGGTGCATTTCAGTTAAACTTTGGATTCTTGCACGTCTGAAAATATCTATATTCTTCCTTCGCGCCTGATGGGTGGCTAGGATGGATACAGGATTCTCAATTCGAAGTCGCTCTTCCCGAAGGTGGCAGGTTTGTTTATGCCTAGTGCCCGGTTTTATCAGCCACCCGACGCAGCATACCCCTCGTTCATTCCTCTTCAAACCTTCTGGGTTACTGCCTGTGCATTTCAAACCGTCAAGTACATTTTAGGTATGTACCATTTCTTTTTTTTGTAAAATCATTCATTACAGATGGTTTTCAGGGAGCCCGTTCTATCTGACTTCAAAAAACACCTTTTGGATGGATGGTACCTAGAAATGATCATTCTGCATAGACTTTTCATGGCTTGTGGAATATTAAAATATTAAAACTAAATTAAAGTGGACTCATTCCTGATTAAAATAATCTGTCACTCTACTTTTCGGTTGGCGTGTTATTTTAAAATCTTGATTCAGGGGCGAGCAGCTGCTTGGTGGGTAAGGCACTGGACTCCCACATGGATGACTGCAGTTTGAGTCCTACACCTGGAGGCTCTCTCTCTCTCTCTCTCTCTCTCTCTCTCTCTGGTGAGCACATGTGCCCTATAGTAAATTTTAAAAATAATAATAATAAATCAAGTAAAATACACAAATAAAACCTTGAAACTTGGTTAACCTGAACCAGCATTAGCTCACCTGTGTCGT